CTTTTCTTCTTCTATACTTTGAAATCTGGGGTAGAGCTCCAGTCCATCTATCTCCCCTTTCCATATTCCACTCTTTCCATTACCAAACACGCTCAGTTCATTGTCACTATCAACAATTTTCTTGATTCTTTATTTTTTTCCTTCAGTTTTTAGAACTCTGACCTCCATTTTCTTCATTTGATGGATATCCTCAATTTTTCCATCAAATTTTATATTCTATGATCTATGTTCGCCAATCTCTTCTCAATTTTCTCTGTTACTTCTAATACTTTTTGAATTTCAAACATAATCTTTTGCAATGTTAAGATTTCTTTTTCATGTTGCACCATTCTTCCATCTTGTAAACATTGCCACTCTGGCATTCAAAACTTTTTATTAAATTTAAAGCAACTTCATTTATAATTTTTCAAAACAAGGCTTTGTTTTCACTCCACTCCAGTTGCCAATAAAGCTCCTGAAGAGCACCTGTATAAACAACCCATGCTTTTCTCACTATCACTCTCTGTAAACAAGCTGAAAAACCTTGAAATGCAAAGTCAAATGATCAAAAAGAAAAAAGAAAAGACAATATTCCCAAGCCTTCCAAGCCTCCAGCCTCCAAGTGGCAGTGTTACTTCCTTTCCCTCTGTTATTACAGCCCTCTTGGTATTCCTTTTATATCTTCTTTATATTCTGGGCTTAAAGAAAATAAAATTCTTAAATGGAGCAAAAAAAAACAAAAAACAAACCCATCCAATCCAGCATTATAAAAATAAGGAAAAAGATTTTAATTCAAGGGTATAAAAAAAGAATATAAAAAGTAGAAGAAGAAAAACTAATCCATTCAATTTAAAGAATAGGAAACATTTGCAAAAGTTACATCGATAAAAGAAAATTAAAAAAGGATAGCACATTGTTTAATGTAGCTTAATTTCTCCGCTTACTCTCTTCTGTTTTCAAATTTAATTTAGCTTTTATTTTTTAGGGGGGTAGTCTCTTTCATAATAATATTTCCTCACCAGATGGACACACTTTCTCTTTCTGTTTTCCTCCCGTTCCAGAGCTGTCCCAACTTCAGCAGCTTCAATGGCTGCGCTTCTGTCACCGGCAAAAAGAGATTCTCCTGGATCAATCAGAGACTTTGCGGTGTCCCTGAGATCAGCAGGATGTACTCTTCCCTATCACCATCTCTTCGGGATGGTTTAGGTCCAGAAGGATTGTCCAGCGGCAAAAGTATTGACTGCGATCTTGGAGCGCCAAGATCACATGTCGTGTCATCGTGATGTCAGCTCCTCCCCCTTAGGGGTGGGTTCCTATATTGGTCAGTACCAGTTCATTGTGCTCACACGTGCGCTGGTCACACATTGCTGGCGCATGTCAATTGACTAAATATTGTTCTGTGCATGCCCAGAAATATGCCGGCCATGGCATAAGAGATTGGGGAACCAGTTCAGGAGCATGATGAGCCTGGGTTGCTGCCGGTTCTGCGACCCAGGCCACAATTCCACTGCCGATTCGGCCAAACCGGGCTAAACTGGGAGCAACCTATCTCTGGTTTGGAACTAGTTATTTGGCAGTTCGCCAAATGAGATAAGGTTCATATTTGATGAACAACCATCTGAAAGACTGTTTGGAGCCTTGCTGATTGTGAATGAAAGGAATTCACAGTCATGTAAATAAAAGAGGTTTTGCTGTGACCAAGACTCCACTTCTTGCTTATTAAGGAAGTCTGGGTCAGAACAGACATATTTTTTTGCCTTTTTTAAATTGACATTTAAGTCTGGGATGTTATATGTCAGAGTTTGAATTCTAAAGTCATTGCATAAATTAATGAAACATTCTAGTTCTTATAATTGCAAAAATGCCCAGTGAAATAATCAAAATAACAGGAATTACAAGAATAAGATTTTTATTAAGACATTGTTAAGACTTTTATTATTCCCATCCTCTCTTTATTATTTGGTGTAAAAAATATTTACAATACATGTGCCAACAGTAACTTTAATTTATATTCCCAGGCAATGGAATTCATATTATAGTGTGATTAAATTTGACTTCATTCAGTACAGAGGTTCAGCACACAGTGTTATTTATCTTTAGTAGAGAATAGTATTATATTTAGTGTAGTGTAGTATTTAATACAACATAAGTAACATTTTTAAAATGTTTCTCCTAAGGGTTAAGCAGTTACCTACCTTTTTGGAAAATGATTCCTGCAAGGTTTTCTGGCTTCTGTATGCTGTACTTTTACACATTTCTTAGATAGGGACCTATCATCAACTGCTTTGTCTATCATAGAATATTTGGGGCCCCAGTCTTCAATTTCACCTAGCATAGCTCTGATTGCATATAAAACAAATGCATCATTGTTTATTTTTTTTAAAGGAGAGTACATAGTATTAAATGTTAATAGACACTGCATAGCACTCATTCCACTTAACAGATTCTCAGCTGTTGATCTCTGACAGGCAGAAGCATCTGGTTTCTAAAAATACTTTCCAGAACACACATTAAGTTCCCAATAGGAGACAGTACTTTTGTAACTATTCATGATCAATTTTTTTTCAAAGAGTAATAGAATTTTACTCATGGTTTCATGAAGACAACCTTGATAATGTGTTGCCAACCTTTCTTTCCTCTCTGCAAAGGCATTTGATGAACTTTAAAAAGGATTTTCATGTTCCTTATGGAGGAAGGGTACTATTTGGGAGGTCCTAAGACTGCCCATTTATAGGATTGGTTCTCTGAAAGTTGGGAAGTCTTTAAAGAGTAGGAGTGATACAAAATCTGAGTCATTGGGAACCTTCCTGTGTAACAAAGCTTAGATGTCCTGATACAGAAAGAGGAGGCATGGAAACAGTTGAAGTGTTCAATCAAGAAGGCAAAGGCAGGGGACTGAAAGCAACAAAAGAATTTTGGGCTGGAGATGTAATTTTTGCAGAGCGAGCCTATGCTGCAGTGGTATTTGACAGGTAAGCAGGAAAAATTAATGTGTGCATTGTTAGGAAGCAAGTGGGGAATGCAAGTGGGAGATGATACAAGAGAGATGTCATTATCTCCTAATCAGGTAGAAAGTTAAGACTCACAGTTAAGACTCTTTGTCCAACTCACAGATGAGAAAATAGGAGTTAAGAGACTTTTCTGACAGAGTTAATTTTCTGTAACAGTGATGAGATAGAAGATTCGTCTTTTCATCTCTACCTTGATGAAAGCTGTAGCGTGCCTTTAAAGAATCACTACCTTTTGGGCTCAGATACTCCACAACCACGCTCCACAACTATGCAACATCCGTCTAATATGCTCATGGTATATGTAGAAGAACATTTAATAGTGCTATATGAGTACATGTATTAGATATTATCAATCATTAACTGTGATCGTGCAGTCTGGTATATCCAGAAGCTCATACTGGCAGTTTCATTGATAATAACTATTACTCAATAATCATGTTGTTATTAATACAAAATGATGAAAATAAGATATCACAGAATATTTCCCTATTGGCTTCCCTCCAGATCCCTTCTTCTCTACAATTTAAAGGATGGTTTAAATTCCTGGCCTTTAAAAAAAAAATCAGAATATAAATTTAGATTTGCAGAAGATCTCAGGTGGAATTCCCAGAATTACTGATGACTTCTTCATTTATCAAGAATGCAAAGGCAATGTGGGTGGAAAATGCCTTAGTTGTAGGACTGTACCTCTTTTGGTTCCCCTGTTTTATAATCCATGTGAATATGGATCTATGAAATAGGGAAGCCTGTTAAACTAGATTACTTTGTTCACAGATTTCTGTATGTCCTGGAGCCCTCCATAATCACACTCTGGGGGAAAATACTAGCCTTGCCTTATTTGCTTTTGGATATGGCCAGTGTTGGACAAGCCATGTCTCCCTGAAGCAGGAATGGGGATGCCACTCCTTGTATACCTATATTGTATCTTCTTACTAACAATATCTAAAAGAGGTGATTGATTTTTCATAGGGAACATATGCTAAATTGGAAAAGTGATGTAGGACCAACAACACTGGCTTTACCATCAACTCAGCACACTATTTAGTAAAGCAGTATGTTTTTCTTTAACCCCTTTTCTCCAAGTGTGAATAGTAATAGAGGCTTTATCAGTGCTGTCCTTGAGCCCTGGTGCTATATTTAGACATGCTATTTTGCCTCTTTAGTTCACCCTCCCAAATCTCTTTGAGCCTTTCCCCTTTGGCTGGGAGGGAATTCCTCAGCTTTGGAATAACTGCTTGTAGGTAAGCTAGCTTTGTCCACCATCATCACTATCCAATGTTGCTATTTCCCCCAGACATGAAACCTTTGGATGTTTTCTTCAAACATATAGCCCAGTGAAGGAATGCAGTGAGGGATAGAGTCAAGACAATGAGAAGTGATAGTACTGCTTTACACTGCACTGGTGAGACCACACCTAAAAGACTACATCCAGTTCTGGTCATCACAATAGAAAAAAGTTGTTGAGACTTCAAAAGGGTGCAGAAAACAGCAATAAAAATGACAGAGGGTCTGCAGACTAAATCGTACAATGAACAGTTGAGGTTGCTAAGCGTGTCTATCCTATTGGAGAGAAGGATTTGGGGGGGGGGGCATAGTAGCTGTCTTCCAGTACTTGAGGGGCTATCACAAAGAAGAAGAATTTGATTTATTCTATGGGCACTAAGGGCAGGACAAAAAGTAATGGGTGGAACCTTGTCAAAGAGAGATCTATCCTATAAGGATAAATTTTCTGACAGAGCAATTAATCAATGGAATTACTAAACTCATCTTTTTTGTGAGATACCATAATTATTTAGTCTACAGACTTTAGAGGAACTGCAGAAGGCATGCCACCAAATGCATGACTGGAAAGGGCCAGAATTCTAGTATTACTGTTTTGAGGAGGGCAACAGAGAAGAGTTTAATTGACAAAATGGATATCTTAAGTCTTGCAAAATAGTAGGTAGAAATCTGGTGTTTGTAGATTAGGGCAAAAAGAAGCTATGCTTGAAAATCAGCAGGAATGGATTTGTGTCTATTCAGAAATAACTTGGCTTGTTAAATGATTGTTCTGAAGGGGGACATCTCCCATCTGAAAAAAAATGTTTACAACTTGGAAGTTCTCCAGGACCCAAGGCTAGGCTGCTGCATCAGTTGCAGACATACCTGGACCCTGAGCCTTGAAGGCCTGATTACAATGAATATATGGCAATAATCTTTATAAATAACTTTGAAACTGCAGTTGCTAGAATATTGTTGAATGAAAGTCATTACTATTGTATAACATTAATTTTCTGGAGATCTGTAGTTTTCTCATTGAGAAAAATACATGCAGTCATAGCAGCTTTTTCCAATTGGAGAAGGCAAATGTTATAAATTTTGTATTTCCTGATATATTGGGGATCCAGTCCCAGAGCTTCCAATAGCAGCATTAAAGAGTTGTGAGAACACTGTTTCTCTTATGTTGACACAGCTGGAGAACAGTAAATTGCAGAAATTAGCCCAGTATACTCTTAGATGTTTGGTGGAATTCAACATTCGCCCCTCCCCCCCGTATCATATTTCAGTTCTCAAAAGCTATCTCAGATTAGCTATGTTGGGAACTGTTTGTGGGTCAATGTGATCCTTTGTGTAATGCATTTATGAACATTGAAATAATATAGTGAAGATTAACAATGTTCCTGTGCAAGAACCACAGTCATGTTTATGTATATGACAGAAAAAAGTGTCAGCCTAATATGTGTATGAATTTAACAAGTAGAAGGAAAAGCAAGGCCACCCTCACCATTCCCTCCATCATTTGAAGTATTAGGCCCTTTTATATTACAGCATCTGTTTTGTATTACCCAGCCATCACCGAAATGCTATAAAGACAGTCTTCAGTAATATTATTCTGGCCCAGCAATGAATGGTGAGAAAAAAAATGAGATCTTTACTTCTCTACTTCCTTGTCATTAAAGATAAAAGTAAAAGTTCCCCTTGCACATATGTGCTAGTCGTTCCTGACTCTAGGGGGCAGTGCTCATCTCCATTTCAAATCCAAAGAGCCAGCGGTGT